CGTCCGCGACTCACCTACCGCTGGACGCGGGCCGGGGAGCCCGCCGCCCGGGCAGCTTTGTTCGGTGCCGGGCGCCCAGGGCGGTGCGCGCTCGGAACGGGGCTCCCGGCCTACGCCTCCCCCGGACGGCCCGCCGCCGCCTCGAGTGCCCCGAGGGCCGCGAAGCCCGCGAGGTTGGGGCGCGCTGACAAACCGGGGATCCCGTCCCGAAGCGAGTAGGAAGTCACTGTCGCCTGGCCTTTCTAATGGCCGCCTTGGGAATTAACTCGGGGGTAAGCTGGCCGCGGCGCTGGGGGGTGGTCCTTGCACGCGGTAGGACCCCGGCATGTTTCTGGCGGCTCCAAGTCCGCTGGGGCCTTTCCTGTTCTCCGATGCGCCCGCAGCCGGCCGGCGGTGGGAAGTCCTCCCCGTCCGGAGTGAAGGTAGGAGCCGGGCCGGGCGGGGACCCGCGCCACGGCGCTTCATCCCCGGAAAGTCGGGGCCGAGTCTGCAGTCCGGCGGCCTCCAGCGAGGGTCCCCGAGGTGCGGGCGGGGCGCAGGGCGACCCTGGGCGGCCCCGGGCTCGGACACCGAACAGTGGGTTCCCTAGGAAAGTAACCCGGACAACTTTCTTGATTAAGCTTTTATAAGTTGCTTAGAGGCAGAGAGGCTTGTGTTTACTGTGAGTAGACTGCACAACGTGAAGGGCGTGAGCGTTCACTGCTCAGAGCAGTAAAGTTCGGCAAAGCGGGTGTGCATCACGCCGGAGTGGAGAGGGGGAAAGCGCTGGTAACGCGGTTGGGAATTCATGAACTAAGTACAGTCGTAAACTCGGCCGGGTCTTGTTGTCGCCGCGGAGGTAAGGGAGACTTATCTGTGTCGCCTCGTCACTAAAGATTAGAACAGGAGATATGCTAAAAAGAAACGCTTGCATAAGGTGGGTAGATTAAGGACAAAGAATCTTTTTGTCATGGAAATGGATTTTTTTTGTTTTGTTTACTTCATCACATAGAATTTCTCACACTTGGTTTGTTTTGTATTGCCCTCAATGACTACACGATCAAATGAATGGATTTATTTCTGCGGAATGAGAAAGACAGTCTTTCCTTCAAAAGAACTACATTGCATCCCAGTGAGGAATTTTAAAGCTTTATTATTGTGGCTCCTGAATAGCTTAAAATCGGCTTTCATAGCCGCCCCAAAATGCAACAATGTAAATACTTCTCAGCTTTGTAGGGTCGTTATCAAAATGTGCAATGTCTCCTTTTATTAAAGCATATTTTAATTAATAGAGTAAAACCTCTTGTATTTAACAATTAAGAAGCTGAGGCCCTGCTATTCGTTTTTAATTTCACTTCAGAAATGTGAGCATGGTGGACCTAGGAGTGTAAACATGTTGAGGGATGTAGAGCCTGTATTTGAAAACCTAAGATGGAGTAAATTATTTACAAGCTCTCCTTTGAATTACCCTCGTTGTTACTGAATTTATTTAGAGGTAAACATATTCAGGTTTTCTGCTCACCGTAGGGTTGAAGTTTTTGTCGAGCCTGTGTTTTTCACAGTCATTCAGAGTTGGAATCAAGATGTTACCACCGTTCCTGATCGTATTTTGCAACAGGCCAGAAATAGCCTGTCTGGGGCTGAGCTCTGGTGGAGTAGTGTGTTTCCTCGATTGTTTTAAGGGTAGTTTAGGCAAACTATTTTAAAAAAATAGTTCTTTGTGATTTAATTATTCTGAAGCTGACTGTTCATGGAGCATAAAAGATACTCTGTTCTCTCTGGACTCAAGGAATGCTTGTGTATATATTACTCTGTCGTGCTGATCGTCGTTAGTAAGATAACTATGTAAAATATCTTTTTAAAGATAAATGGAAAACTAAAGTACTCCAACATGAATCAGATGGTCTCAAGATTTTAATTTTGTTAAATGCAATGGAAATAAACAGACTGCGTGAAGTTATAAGTGAGCTAAGTTAGTTTACAGTGTTTTAGAAATGCAGTAAATAATTCCTTTATCACTTTGCTGTGACATTAATTAAAGCAGTAGATGCATGCAGTGAAATAGAAGGCTATTGATAATGCCGTGAAAAAGAAATATCATATGCAAAATTTTTAGTATAATATGGGAGGGCAAAGATGCACAGTCACATTAATTTACAGTAAAAAGAAAAGAAATATGACTAGTATTTTTCAGGCATTGGTTTTTAGGGAAGAAATGAAAAGATAGCTATCCAAAAATAGCTTCAGTGCTATCCAGACCTTATCATGGCAGGAATGAAATATGATGATATGTTTAGAATGAGAAAAAGTAATAATGGTTTACGTAAAGTTCTAAAGTTATCCTGTTGTAAAAATGTAAGGATGACTGAGGTTTAGATTCCCAGTAAGAACTATCTTTTGAAATTGCAAATTATTTCATTCCTGCTTCTGAAAATTTAGAAATAAGTGTGATGCAGCTTTAGGATGCAGCTAAATATATGCCACCATTAATGAAATCCTTTGAGCCAGCTGAATATTGTTCTAAGAAAAATTAATTAAAACTTGTAATGACAGAACAGCCCTTATACTCCTACTAAGACCTTTAAAAGGTGTAATATTGCTATCCTTTTATCGTATAAAATACGGCTTAGCAAAGATGTATTTTATTGTCGTTAGAAAAAAATATGTATTTAAGGAAAAACAAAAGGATATTATAATTTAAAACAATTTGCCATCCTGTATTTTGTTTGTTAACACTAATTGCTTCAAAGTGTGTTTTTATTTCCTGCCAATTTACAGTCATATGGTTATCTTAAAAATCCTTTTAAATGTGGTGAGCATGTGATTTAAGAATTTACCAGCGGTATTCACAGACTGTGTTTAAATTAAGGGGAAGAAGGCCACCAGCCCTTGGTGAGGAGATCTTTTCTCTTTTATCTGTATATGCATGGTTTGCCTGGGTGGCTCCCCCCAACACACGCTACACACATTTACAATTCAGCATTCCAAAAGGAAACAATACAGAAGCCACTTTCTAACATTCGTAGGCAGATTGTTTTCTCTGAAACCTGGAAGGTGAAAAGTAACTAAGTGAGGGGGGAAAGGAATGGAAGAATTTGCAAGCATTTATTTTAAAAATAACATTTAAAAAACCTAACCTATTTAAAAATGCATAATTTGGTGGTCAACTAAAAGCATTACAATTAATTCCTACTCTTTGGAGAAAGAGCTGATTATGTAACATTTTTATGTACATTTTAAACTTCCACAACATATGCATGATCCAATATTTTTAGATTTGTTCAGAGCCAGAAAAAGAAGGAAGGTATGGACCCACAGCAGGAATTACTTAGCAAGCTGATTATTTTTTGTGTACAAAGATGATGGCAAAAGTGGGTCAGATTTCATTTTCAGCTGCAATCTCTAAGAGGCTTTACCATTCATCTCAAGGTACCTCTAGGAACATTTTCTCTTGGGGGGAATTCACCAAGGTTTCCCTTCCGTGTGCTGAACGGCAGTTGGAATTTAGCTTTCTTAAATATAAGTATTGGCACAGGCTTAGTTAAGTAAAATAAAGTCGTCTTAACTGCTAATGAGGTTATGTACTCTCTTTCAAAGCTGCAAAATAGTTTCAAGAAGGATGATTTTTAAATAGTTATAACAGGAAGGTTTTTTTTGTTTCGTTAGTTTTTATTTTCCCACACGATTTCTTGACTAGTTGCCAGGGTAAGACCAGCATATCTTAGTCCCCTGAAGACGAGAGCCAGTTCCACTGCTGGGGGACAGGTTTGTAACTACAGCATATGTTAAGTTGCTTCACATTTCATGTAAAATCAGACGTAAATAAAATCTATGTAGAAATCGAATGTTTTAATATTATTTTAAATAAACCTTTGTATTTAAAAAAAGCCTCATCCTTAGATTTTTCTGTTGTAATTTAAACACCTTTATGGTTTCAAATGCAGTTAACTGTCTGTGATTTCCAAGCAAACCAGTAAGACATGTCAGGTTACAGAAAGAATAAAATATTAATTGAAATGATAAAATAGTGTAATGGGCTCTATTTCTGTTAGAGCTGAGGATTGATTTGTTTCTTAATTAGAGGGAAGAGTTCTCCAGGCTGCAGCGCTGTCCACCGCGGAGACCTGGTGGTGCCAGTGTGGTGTCTCAGCCATGTCCTCCGTGGCCTGTCTTCCCCGGTCACCCCCCAGATTAGTTATGCTTACCATCCAGAGTCCTTACCCCCCTTTGCATGCCCAGAAAGCCTTCTAGCCGGCACAGCATTGAGCCTTGTTGTCTTCAGTCTGTGAGGAGGTGGGTGCAGAGTGCTGGCAGCTTCCCACCGGCTCTCCCTGAAGGTGGGTGGTAAGGAGGGCTTTGACAAGCCTTGCTGACTTAACCTTTGCCTGCTTTGCCCTGCCAGGGGTGGCCACTAGATGTCAAGCTCATAATACAATTAGTGCATCTGTGCTGTTGACCTTGGCAACAGGACTCAACACTGTTCCATTAAGTGTTAACACTGAATCTGAGTGTTAACTAGAGACCCGAGAGTTTGCTCCTCGCTGCACGGCTTATCAGATGCCCATCTAGTTCAGCACAAGTGTTTATAGTTCTTAAAGAAGAAGCGAGCACGGTTTCCTTTTGTGCAGCTATTACGTGTTGAACTGTTTAATTAACCCTGCAGGTGCCATGGCACTTTGTCTTAATTCGTCTGCATTTCTGGTCCTCTCTTCGAGGGTGACCTCTTGGCAGCACTGTTTGATAACTCGATTGTATGACTTGAATACATGCAGAGCCACTGGTTCGACGACCCAGGGCACTGTCTTTTCCAGGATGATTTTTTGCATATGTGTAGACTTTGCCTGTAGAAATGGAACAGCGCGGTGAAGTGATGACAAACGATGGAAATGGTTTAATAACCTAACCCGAGTGCGAGCATTCTGATGGTTACAGTTGATCAGAGCCTGTTCCTGGACACACTGCAGTGTGTGCTTCTCTAGGGCTGTTTAGACCCAGGTGTTTATACGTCTAAGTGGTTTTGCTTATTTGTTTATTTTTAGGCATAGTGGATTTGAAAAATGACCAGTGGTGGGGTAGCAAGCAGAGGCACTTTCAAATAGTCACGTCATCAGATAGCACATTTAATTTCACATATCAAATCTGAGTTTAAACCATATGCATCTTAACCAGAAGTGACTCTGCACAAACGTTGTTTTCACCCCTCACCGAATATTGATTGAAATTTTTCTCATCGGCTGACATATTTCAGGTTTGTGTGTTTTTCGTTAGGCATAGATAGTGATATATGTGTATTCATCATAAGCATGATTACAGCATAACATCTAAATGAAAGAACTATTGTGCAACCTTGAAGTGTAACAAACATCTTATTATGTGATACAGCATCGAGGCAGATAGTTAAAACAAGCGTGAGTGTTGTGGCTGCTTTCCATCTGCATATGTCCATAAAGGAAACAGTGTTTCCCTCCCTGGTCCTTCACCACACAGATTAAAAACTGCAAATGTTTTAAACAGAAGACATTTGGTGACTGTGCCACAGGTGG